GCCATATTTAGCATAATCAAAGTTCCTGCCTCATACTTCAGTGATGCTTTCCTGATCTTTTGATATGATTAAAGTCTGATAGTATGCTCTTCTTAAATCACCTATACTGCATTTCCTAACCCCTGATCCTTTATGTGTGAGTTTCACTTGCCAGCGGATACTTTAGCACACCCCAACAGACAATTAGGGAAAAAGTGATAAAACCAGGTGAATTTGGTTCTTCAGCCAGGCTGTGCCACAGATTTGCTCAGGAAACTCTAATACTGTGTTCCCTTCATAGTGCATTGGAAGTGTCAGCTTTTAGCAAAGTCAAATAAGATGCTTAACAAGCTACACGTCCTATCATTTTAGCTTTGCCATTGTAGCCTTGTGGCTCAGCGCCAGAGATAAATACAACCCCCCCAGCAGGATACGGCTTCCTTTTTTTTTTTTTTTTTTTTTATGTTGCATGGATTTGTTTCTGTATTTGTTTTGTCCTGTAAGGTCAATTGAAACAGAACATGCAGTAAGTATAGCTGTGCGGGGAAATTCAGACTGATAGAAAAATGGCAAATGTGATTTCTTCAGTAAAGGTGGGAAACGCTCACATTTGCCTGGGGCAGTTTTTTTTACAAATGAAAAGCAGTTCATCCTTCTTCCCTAAACCATAACGTATATATCACAAAGTAGATGGAGCAGAAGGTCAGAAAGAGATGACAGCTTGCTGAGCCACTCCATATCTATGGTATTTCTAGGGAGCTGAGCACTATGATATCTGACTGCTGAATACAATAACTAAGATTCACGTACAGTTACCCGTATAGATTCCATTCCACTCTTTCTTAAAAAGGAACTTATCCTAACTCCCCTTCAAAATCAGTCCCTATAAGATCACCAGAGCTCATTGTTACAACCATAGTGGGACATTGGTAGGCAAGGGAGATTACCAAGCCATTGGTGTAAAAGTGGCAAAAAGTTGAAACACAACTTGGTTTAAAATAGGCAAAGAATGTTGGCCTTCAGATGACACCTGGATTCCAGCTCCTCCATGGCTCTCACTTCTACTTCATTCCTGTTCACTTGTATAATTTTCCTTTAATATATATATATTATTCTCATATATTAAAGGGATTATAGTCTCCCCAGGACTCTGCATTCTCACTTCCCTTCAGGAGGCGGAGACTGACCCATTCTCAGTTCTGAAATTTCAGGTTATGTCTACACTGCAATGTAAGCTTGGGTTTAGTGGGACTCAAGTCAGCTGACCCATGTTAGGGAACCCTGGGCATCTACATTGTATTTTAACCCAATTTTATGACTTTTCTATCCCATGCTTGAAAGTAGGGCTTTGGCGACCACACTGAAGTACACAGACCCGAGTCAAAGTAACTATATCCCAGAGTTCCTAGCACCCTCTTCCCCCCAAAATGTAGTCGCTCTAGCCATAGGGCAGTGGTGCATTGTGCGAAAACTTCACTGCCCGCCCTGTATGTTACCAGGAAGCTGCTTGCTTTGCAGATCACTTGATCAGTTCAGTCTCCATTGCAAACCCTGGAAGCTCTCTGATAGGGTACTTGCAGATTGGTGATCAGAAGGGAATGGGTTAATGTGCTGAGCTGCTGCTGTTTGCAAAGGGGAGTGGCTTCCGCTTTCAGTAGAGTGGATTACAGATTTTGGGATAGAGAGGACTAGCAAAGTTGTCCCATGGAACTGTGAGATGCTTCCAGCTGATTCCCAGGACCCAAGTCTACACTGCAAAGCAATAGGTCTCAGACCCTGGGTCCCAGCTTAACTCGAGCTCGGACCCTCCAGCCCTGCAGAGTCCTGGGACCCTGGTTCCAAAGGGTTAGCGCAGTTGCAATGTAGATGCAAGGGGTGGGGTAGGATTGAGCCCGGGATTAAGCACAGGTTTACATTGCAGTGGAGACATACCCAGAGAGACCTCTCTCCTAGCAATAGGTGTTCTGGTTGTTGCCCTTCCACCTACAGCTTACCTTTTCTAAGACATCCTGTGTGTAGCAAACAAATAAACACCAAAGTGAGCTGTTAAAAACTGTCTCTCTGAGCTCTGCTTGCATGTTGTTTCACAGCAATTCACCTCGTCTTGCAGAGGTACATATGCAAGTGGATCAAAATGGTGAAACTTCTGCCAAGTTGCATTATTTTTGTGAATAAACTATATGTAATTCTGC